ACAGCTTTCCTACATATTTAGAAACCTCCTGCACAGTTTCTTGGTGTATGGGGAAGTGTCTGCCCTGTATTCTGACATTGAAATTAATGTTGTTATTTCTATTCAAAGGGAACAAGTGATATTTTACTCCTTTTTAGCAGAAACACAGGAGCTGTTCAATCTCCTCCTACACCCCCTTTCTCCACCCTGAGCCTTTCCAGCTTTAAAAATTGCCCCCTCAGAGCATGTCAGACCTGGTTACCACACACACAGCTGTTCAGCCAAATAGATGCTTAGCATTATTGATGAACTGGTCAGTGATTCTCTCACAAGCAAAATTTCTGCTTTTTTTTTTCCCCTCTCCTCTGAACATTCCATGCCATAGTGAGCAGCTGTGTATATAGAAATACACGTCCACTTTTGTATATATAGAAATACACATCCACTTTTGCGAATATAGAAATCCACATCCACACATACACTTTCTGTAGGTTATGATTTCTGCAGATTAAAACACAATGCACACCCTGAGTGCCTGGAGAAGAGGAGATGCATTATTCAGTGGAACTAACTCCCACCTAGTCTCACTGCAGACTAATTAGCAGCATGACTGTCGGGCACAGAGGGGGGAAAAAAGTCTGGAAAGGGCTGCAAAGGATGAGAAAAGCTGGCTAAGTGTATTACTTGCTATTAGTAAAATATAAGCTGCCAGGTATGGCTTCCAACTTAAATGGTAAGAATTATTTATAGCAGGAATTTTTCCCCAGCAGCAATAGCTGCCAATGATTAATTCATACAGAAAGCTAAGTTAATTATGAAGTATTGCAAATTAAAACTCCAAGCACTAAAAATAAATGTAAATCTTAAAAAGAGACAGCTTCAAAAGGGATTATTTTCCCAAAGAAGTCAGCAAGGTAATGCACTTCTCCGACTGGACTGTGAGAACCACGAGGACTTTTTCCTAAATTTCAAATTTAGGCTAATGAGCAAAATTCCACTTCTCCCTGGTGCTTGCAATGGAATCACAGAATGCTTTTGGTTGGAAAGGGTCTTAAAGATCATCTCATTCCACTTGACCAGATTGCTCCAAGCCCCATCCAACCCAGCCTTGAACACTCCCAGGGATGGGAAGCATTTATAAGTCCTGAAAATTTTTATTTCTAATGCTTTTGGAACTAATTTCAGAGTTTATTTATTTTAAAATGTTCTTATTAGAAGTTTATTTCATATTAATTTCTTATTAAAATTAATATGGTGATCACATTATTAAATATGGGTCTAATAAGCATGTGTATAGTTAAAGGAGTCAAAGCAAATAAAATGGAGCTGACCAGCATTTTTCAAAGCATGAAAGCATTTGTGCTCCACTGTTCTGTTGAAAGCTAAAATAACAACAGGAAGAAACAACTCCCTGGCTTTTCTTCACTCTTTTTTGAGCAATCTTAATTAGAAATTACAGAATAGGAAAACCTTATAATCATCAACAGCTGATTTGGCTGTGGCTATTCCTTTTCTGCTTGTTCTTCAGTAGACACAGAGATGGCAGAATAAAGACAAATAGGTATTAGTGAGGGAATCATTTTTGCCTGAGTGCAGTTCACACCTGCAGAGCAGCAAACCTGGCAGGCTCTGCCCTGCTCCCTGCCTGGGGAACCTCAATTCCATCAGCTGGATGGGGAAAGCAAAATATCCAGGTACCAACAGGCATCTTCACATGCAGATGGGTGGTTTTGAGGGCTCTTCTGTCTATTCATGCTAATAGAACAGGCATGATTCTGCATTTAATATTTCAGCATATTTTATCAAACAGTCAATTAGCTGAGGGCAAGAGAAACCAGGACAAAGGGAGTGATGTGAAACTCCAGCAAAGTGAGCAGATATTGTCAGTGTGTTGTGGCACCACAGCAAGACAGGGGTGAGGAGGAGAAAAATGCCACAAGAAAGGACTGAGAGAGGAGGCACGGGAAAGGAAATGTCATTGTCATTTCCCCCCTGTCATGTCATTGATTCCAAGAGATAGAAATAAATTGCTTCTACAGTCATGCCCCTCTTTAGGAATGATCAGAAAAACATCTTATTTCTCTCCACATCTGCTTTTTGACAGGTGACAAAGCAACAGCATTGCTGTTGATTCTCTCTCCTGTGATCTGTTGAGAGAGAATCAACAGTTCAAAAATACCCAGGCCCACATTTTCCTGGTAGAATTATTGACATTCCACTGACATGCATTCCATATTAATGCTGCTCCTGCTGCTGACCAGAGCTGCTGCTGCCCTCCTCCTACTGCTATCCATGCAGGCTGTCAACTAGATAATGTCACTTTTTGACCAAGTGCCTTCAGTATCTGACACCTGAAAGATGAAACATTTCTTCTCACTTCAGTCCAGTTGATTGTATTTTTTTCTATTTCCTCTGAATACAGAAGTCCTTTTTTGAAAATTCAGCTTCAAATGTGAATGTGTCCAGCTGCTGAAGCTGCTGGTTAAAAAAGTTTAACAACCCCAAACCAATTATAAGCCACCATTCAAGAATCAATAACCTATTAATAGCTTTGGGTGATACTTGCCATGTGCTGGCATCATAGGTTCTGTATACAAATAATATGTGGTGGACATTTTAAATAAAATCAAAGCTACCTGCATGCAAACCAAAGAGTGCTGAGCTGTCAGCAGATCCTCTCCCACTTTTCACTCTTTTTAAAAAAATCTGTGTATAGCAAATAACCCACTGCCCTGAATATTTATTCCATTTCCAAGACCTGTTAAACTTCATCCAGAGATGGGTTAAGACCCAAGAGAGCAATTTAGACCATAAACATTTATCTCCTGTTATAACTGACACTGGCAGAATTCCAGTGTACATGCTTTTTGTTCCCAATCTGGGTGTTCACAGCAGGAAAAGGCTGCTGCCACAGAGGCACCAGCAGAAGTTTGAGCACTTTCCTAAGAAACCTGCATCAGCAGTGAAATCACAACACGTGGGAGATGGAAACACTAAATAGATTAAAATGCACTGCAGGCAATGCAGCTACAGAAATAAATGACCTGTGCAGTGATGATGTCAATATCTTCAGCATGACATTTGGATCTGGGGCTACTGAGCTCCTCAAGAGACTTCTCCCTTTGGTTCTTCCAAAAGTGAAGCAAAGAACAGTTCACAAAGCTCAGTATTTGGTGACTAAATCAAAGTAGTGTGCTGTGTGATGTGAAAGACAAGAGTTTTACAGAAGTGGAAACCTTTGTTAGAATGTGTTCTTGGCCAGTTCAATGTGGTTAACCTCTTTTTTAATATAAATTGAGAAGAAATTGATAAGGCTGAGTCAAACACTTGGAATGCCATGAAGAGAGGACAAAAAAAAATTGAAAGGAGACCTCATTGTGGTCTTTAATAACTTTATGAGGGGCAAGTATGGATCTCTTCCCTCTCATCATCAGTCACAGGACTCAAGGAAAGACATGAAGCTGAGTTAGGGGAAGTTTAGGTTGGGTATTAAGAGGAAGTTTTTGACCAGTGGTTGGGTATGGGAATAAATCACACGGGACTCCATTTTCTTCATGATAGAAAAATGCCATTCTTTATTCACATAACTCCTTTTTATACAGTTTTGCACACTTTGTGTGGGACCCCAATTGTTTGGTAACTTTCTTGCCAATTTCCTTTATTGGTTAATAACAAGTTGTTATTCTGCATTGATTGGTCACTCAAACCCTTGGTGTCTATGTGTAGGGACAGTTGTTTGTGAAAGATAATTTTCATTTTTCTAACTGTATAAAACAGTTTATGCAGGTGCAAGTTATTTTTTTTCCCCAGGAATAGCTTGTTATGTTAACAAATTGCTCACAACAGGATTGCTTCCACATGGGAACTCACAAAATGCTGGCTTTGACAAGGCCAGCACTGATTGCAGGAGAGCAGCCTTGATTTTATGAAGCCTTTATTTATGATTTTTTACCTTGCTGTAAGAGTTGGGCACTGAGGCTCCCCAGGACAGTGGGCACAGCACCGAGCCTGCCTGAGCTCAGGAAATGTTTGGACCAAGCTTTGGGCACAAGGTGGGATTCTTGGGGTGTCCTGCACGGGGCTGGACTCAATAATCCTGGTGGGTCCCTTCCCATAGTCTATGACTGTATGAAATTCCTAATTTTAGGCAGTTCTTTCTTGTGGCTCACCAAAGGTGGCACTGATGTGCTCTGGTGTCTGAGCACAAAATCTGAGTGACTTTGCTGGGCACACAGAGGTTCCCTGGGCATGCAGGGGTGTGCTGGGCACACAGAAGTTCTGGCACATCCCATTGGGCACACAGAGGTTCCACTGGGCACACAGAGGCTCTGGCACATCCTGCTGGGCACACAGAGGTTTCACTGGGCACACAGAGATTTTGGCACATCCTGCTGGGCACACAGAGGCTCTCTGGGCACACAGAGGTTCTGGCACATCCCGCTGGGCACACAGAGGCTCCCTGGGCGCCCGGAGGTTCTGGCACATCCCGCTGGGCCCACAGAGGCTCTCTGGGCACACAGAGGCTCTGGCACATCCCGCTGGGCACACAGAGGCTCCCTGGGCACACAGAGGCTCTGGCACATCCCGCTGGGCACACAGAGGCTCCCTGGGCGCCCGGAGGTTCTGGCACATCCCGCTGGGCACCCAGAGGTTCTGGCGCGGCCCCGCCCCGGCTGTCCGGAGCATCCCCGCCTGTGCTGGGGTCGCACAGAGAGGAGGGCAGGGCAGAGCAGAGGAGCGCCCCGCGCCCCGCACCGCTGGCCAGCGCTCCCCGGCTCTCACAGGGACCAGAGGAGCCGCCCCTCTCCTCCTCCTTTCCTCTCCTCCTCCTCCTCCCGCCGCTCCTCCTCTCCCGCTCCCGCCGAGCAGCGCCGGGGTCGCGCCGGGAGCGCAGCGCGGAGCGAGCGGGGCTGCAGGAGCGCGGCTGCCGCCGGTCCCCGCCCGTGTCCTGCCCGTGTCCTGCCCGATCCCCGCCGGTCCCCGATCCCCGCCGGTCCCGCGTGTCCGCGCCGGGCCGGAGCATGGCTTGGGGCGAGCTCGGGCTGCTCCGCTGGCTGCGGGAGAGCCGCCAGTCCCGCAGGCTCATCCTGCTCATCGTCTTCATCGCGCTGCTGCTGGACAACATGCTGCTCACCGTGGTCGGTAGGTGAAGCGGGCTCGGGCTGCTGTCCCTGCCCCGGCTGCTGCAGATGTGCTGCCCGAATGCCCGATTAATGCTCTCAAACCCAGCGTTTTCAAACTCTGATTAATTTTGTTTTTAACCGTGAATTACACTGCGGGCATTGCAAACGCGCCGCCGTGGACATCAAAGTCTTGCTTTATTTCCATGTTAATTGCGAGATAAGGAATGGTATAAAGAGGTCTTAATAACTCCTTTTTTCCTCTTTTTATTTTCTATTTTTTTTTCTTTTTCCTGCTAAACGCCACTGATACTTTGTAGAACGACAGATAACAGTATTTTTAGCTCATCATCGTTTTTTCTCCTGTGGTCGTGCAACTGAAACAACAGGCTAGATAACATTGGAGGTGCCTGTTTCCTTGTGATAGTTCTGTTTCCCCCACATTGGTCTTAAAATGATAGGTTAATAAGAAAACTATCTAGGTCACTTTTAAGAAAAGCACTTCCATGAGTTAGTTTAATAAAATAATAAAAGTTTTGATCAAAGTCTAAGATCCAACTTTTAATGGCTTCAGTGGCACAGTGTCAAGATTCGGAAATCTACTCAAATAAAACAATTGAGTGTTTTTTACTGGTAGACTTAGAACTCCTCATATTCAAATGTTTATGTGAAATAAAAGAATATAGTCCAGAGGAACCAGTGGCTCATGGAAGTGCACACAAACACACCTGAATGCTCATGGTTCTCCTGGAAGTGACTTGGTCTGTGCAGGGCTCAGCTCTCAGGTGATGCTTCAGACTCAGCTTCTGAATCTGACTCCTGAATTTCTTGAAGGGGTTTCAGTTTAAAAGTTGATGCCACAAGGTAGACCTTAGTTAAGAAAATATCTATTTTTAGCAGTTGATTTTGGAATTTTTTTTACATTAATATATTTCCTTATAATATTAGTAATATTTAATTGTTTGTTTAGTAATAAGTATGCTAGAGGCCCTAGAAATTATTATAACTTGCAGATTTGGGAGGCTGAACTTTTTCTGGATGAAATGCAAAATGGGAAGGGATGATTCTCTCACTTGTGTTAAAATGAATGAACTTGACATCTGTTTTTACAAACTCTAAAATCCTAATGTCTGAGATACATATTAATGCAATTAAATTGCAGCCAAGATCCTAAAACATGTAAACATGGTTCCTTCTGGATGATCTTTGCAATGTAAATTTCAAAATAATGAGACAATTATTGCCAATGCAAATATAGGCATATTATTTCTGATTCCTTGATATAGGTTTGTTACCATTTTTCCTTCTTATGCCTGGTACCTATCAATATTTTGGTTTATTTTAGAAATGTTTTATATAGTATTTTTTTATAGTTTGGTTTAATAGTCATTCCAATGCTCTTCTCATTATTCGTGCTTTCACAGCCTAATAAAAGGACTTGTGCAGCCACGTGCACCAAAGAGGCTTCAGACATGGGTTTTGATACTTTTGATATTTTGCTTAATGATGTATGTATAGAAAACCTTATGGGAATCTTATGAAAACTGGCAAAAAATAAAGATCAGTGTAAATGAACCTTTTGTTTTAAACTGCACTTCTGAGTTACGGGTGTGTTTTTTTTTCCCATGAGCAAATTTCTCTTTCAATTCTGTGTTTCTGAAATACAAAGCCTTGTATTTCCTCATCAATGGCACAGCAAGCAGCTTGGTGATTCCACTTCCAAGTAACCTGACAGTAAGATGCCAATGTATTCTATTTGTTTTTCCAGTGCCAATAATTCCCAGTTACCTTTACAGCATCGAACACCAGAAAAACGCCACAGAAATCCAGACTGCTAAGCCCAACCTCCCCTCAGCAACCATGGACAATTTCCAGAGCATCTTCTCCTACTACGACAACTCCACCATGCTCACTGGAAACGAGTCTGACAGGACACAGCCTGCAGAGCTGCCTGAGAGCCAGACAGAGCCCATGGCTGTCAGGGTGACCGCGGCCCCCTCTGACTGCCCCAAGGATGACAAGGAGCTGCTGAACGAGAACGTCCGCGTCGGCCTCTTGTTTGCCTCAAAAGCAACAGTGCAGCTGATGACCAACCCCTTCATAGGGCCCCTGACTAACAGGTATGGCATTGCTGCTGCTCCATCCCACACTGCTGTTTTAGCCCAGATTAGTGTTTCAAACAGATTCTTCTTAATTCTCCCTGGGTTGCTGCCTTCTGGAGGAATATGTTAGTGAAATCAGTTTGGTGAACACTTCTAAACGCTTACGCCCTTTCCAAAGTAGCTGCACGTCAGCCATTAGTATCTCACACTTTTCCCCCAGCTCCTGAGACCTTGGGTTTCTATAGAAGCCTTTGCAGAGATGGTGTTTGCAGTTTAGGAAGGATGTTGAGATGCGCATCCAGAGGAGGCAACAAGGGGTGAGGGGCTTGGAACACAAGCCCTGTGAGGAATGTTTGAAGGAACTGGGGGTGTTTAGCCTGGAGAAGAGGAGGCTCAGAGGCGACCTTATTGCTCTCTGCACCTTCCTGAGGGGAGGCTGCACACAGATGGGGTCGGTCTCTTCCGCCGGGCAGCACTGACAGAGCCAGAGGGCACAGCCTCAAGCTACATCAGGGAAGGTACAGGTTGGATATTAGGAAAAATTTTTTCACCAAAAGAATAATAAAGTACTGGGATGCTCTTCCCAGGGAGGTGGTGGAATTACCATCTCTGGATGTGTTTAAAAAAAGAGTGGACATGGCACTTGGTGCTGTAGTCTAGGTGAGGTGTTAAGGCACAGGTTGGACTCAGTGATCTCAGAGGTCTCTTCCAACCTCATTATTCTGTGATTCTGTTGAAATATCTCCCATATAGTTATAGGAGGCCAAAAGACACTGCAATTCACAAAGATTGTGAATTGTCAATAATCCTGTGGCACCCACATGAGGCAAAGATGATATTGAAACTGTAGGCAGGGCTCAGATCCCTTCCCTGCTCTCACTGAGATGAGCATCTCTTGCTGTGTGGAGTTGTCTGAGGAGAGAATCAATGGGAAATTTGTGTGGAAAAGTGAACAAATATCCAACTTTGCTGATCCATGTTCATCACCAGGTTCAGTGGGTCCCACATTCCCATTAGTACATGACATTGCCCAGCCTCCTAATTGCTCCCTCTAAATTCTTGCAAATATACAATGTCTTGAACCAAATATGTTTAAATGGGACTTTACAGAAAATTTATTTGGGCCAGGATCAAGCTTATAAACACCAATATCAATGACTTAAAACTCCTCTCCAAATCAAAGTACTGATGATGTTAACATGAAGATTAAAAAGTATATATAGTATTCAAATTTTTGGTGTTAATAATAAATTTGATTTCCCTGTTAGCGTTTTGTGTAACCACTCCCCAGAGAAGTAGCTTCAGTCCTCCCAAATATTCTGTGAGATCAATCTCTGCAGGAAATAAACTCCAAATTGTATTTAGTTGGGTCACTGATTTGCATATTTCATATGTAAGCTGTTTTCATAGAGAATTATTCCTTTCAGAAAATAACATGCAGCAGAAATTTGGAATTGTAGAACACTTTGGTTTAAGCAGTCAGTATGTCCATCATAGGTGGCAATATTTAAAACAACCAACACAATCCAATGACAGGTATTTAATGTTTTGAAGCCAAAACTACCTTGTTTAGGTTTTATGGTGTATATATACATATATATATACATATACATATATATATACTATATATATATATATTTACAGTGGGTGTATATATATACACTATATATATATGCTATTAAATCTAATATATATACTATATATATAAATATTGTCTGAGTGTTTCTTTTCAATCTCATAAAAAGTATCCAGCTGAGGGCTAAGCAGCATTTTTGGACTCACAGTGCTGTGTATGCAAAACCTGTGCTTTATCTGTGGAACTGATCTAAACATAAAAGCTTTAAATGAGGGAGACAGTTTCATTTCTCTCTCATTTCCCCTTATCACCAGTACATATCACCTCCACAGATATAAGTACACCACCACAAAATTACTTTTGCACAAATATTGCTGCAAGTTGAGAAGGATTTTTCTTACCTGTATTGTTTAGTGAGGATGCCACAGCTCCTCTGCAGGTAAAGTAACAAAACATCAAATTATGTTTTTATAATGGTTCTTTGGCTGTCCTTCTAGTTCTTCCTAGCTGCCTAAATGGTTGCCCTATTGATATTTGCTGTTTTTGTGTTATCACTATCATTTCCAGAGCCTGCCACATGAGGAGAAAGGTGTGTGGTCACACCTGTGCCCTGGAGCAGCTCCTGGTGGGTGTGTGATGCATCCCTGGGTTGGCAATGTCCTTGGAGCATCCCCCTTTCCTGCTAGGGGCAGGGTTGGCACCACACCAGAGTGAATTTCAGTGCTGGGAGCTGAGGTTCCCTCCTGGAAACATCCCCAGGTTTTTCCCTGGGGCAGGGGGTGTGACTGCAGGCACCGGGGCAGGTTTGCTCACACGGGTGGGAGAAGGAAGAACAAGGAGCACTTCATCCCATCATCCCACACAGCAAAACTCTTCCCTCATGCAGCTGAAGTGAGTGCCTTAATGGCACAGTGGCCCTAAATTAAATTTTGGGTTCACTGGTTTTCTTTCATGCATTATTTGTATCTTGGTACTGGTATCTGCCTTTGTTCTGAGAAATGTTTAGTGGGAAATATCAGTTAACACATTTATCAACTAACTGTAGAAGTTATTGGGTACCCTCCCCCTCTTAAGCTGACAATTTCTAATAACAATGTATATGATCAGCTGGAATGTGTGATTGTATAAATCAAACAGAAAATATCTGGGTTATCAATAGAAAGACTCTTCCTTACCACTGATGAGCTCTTTGGTTACTGTTAAGCTTTTGCCTTTATTACTTCTACAAAATTCCAGCAATATATCAAAGCTTAGGGAGAAATGATTGCTTCTTTCAAGATCCGTGTTCACAGTTGGTTAAGATGCCCAGTAAGTTTCTTTTTCAGATGAGTAGCACACTCTGTACAGGGATTTTTATTTTTCAATCCAATATAGCTGTACAAGAGGGGTTTAGAGTTTTGGTCAAGTGCTGGTTTTCACCAGGCACTGGCTTTGAGTTTGTACAGCCAGCAACAGGATATTCCACTCATACGAGTCTGTGCAAATAATCACTGTTTTTTAGGTTTTCTGAAAGTTTTGGAGCTTGTTTTCCTTTCTTTTATAATTACTGAGAGTGTAGATTTTCAAAAACCAATTTCGGAATTGGTTTCATTCAAGGAGTATGCTCTGCAAAAACAATTTCTTATTCAAAGCCCAGCTCTTTTCACGGAACACCAGACACACCTGGCTCAGAGAACAGGTTTGCAGCTCCTGAAACAATACAAGTTCCCTCTGCCCTAACAAAGTCCTGGCAGAGCAAACACCAGTGATGGCTTTGCCATAGGAAGTGAACAGTTCACTTCCCACCCTGGCTCACTTTCAGGGCAGAGCTGATAAGGTTTTGTGGGTCAGAAGCACATTATTTTTCCTGATGGTGAAATTTGTGAGGAGCTATCCACAAAGCACAGCATCTGACACAGGGCTCTTTGTGAGGAGGATGCTCTGGGAGGGGAAGAGTGAAGGGTGGGCAAAAGGCTGTGCTGTGAAAGGGTGGACAAAAAAAAGGCTGTGCTGTGAAAGGGTGGACAAACAAAAGGCTGTGCTGTGAAAAGAGTGGGCAAAAGGCTGTCCTGTGAAGAGGGTGGGCAAAAGGTGCCCTTTGTAACCACCTGCCTTATCCTGGCACAGGTGCCCAGAGAGGCTGTGGATGCCCCTGGATACCTAGAAGTGCCCAAGGCCAGGTTGGATGGGGCTCTGAGCACCCAGGTCCAGTGCAGTGTGTCCCTGCCCATGGCAGGGGGTTGGAAGGAGATGGGGTCTAAGTTCCCCTCCAACCCAAATCATTCTGTGGTTCTGTGATTGACTCCAGTGCTTTTATCAATCTCTCTCTGTGAGCCCAGCTGTGCCAGCCCCTCAATCACCAGAGCCAGTCAATGCCTCTGCCATGTGTGTCCCCTTCTTTTTTTCATTAGTCTGAAAGAAAATTTGTAGTTTTAACCTTGTTTTTCTTCATATCAGCCTAAAAAACCATAAAAAAATAACAGCTATTTTCATCATCACCATCCTGGCTACAGCTTTGAACTCCTTAGCATGAGACAGAGAGAGTACTAGGACCAAAATGTGTTCATGCCCAAGACACACACAGAGAAGGAAGCAGAGGCATAAATAACATTTATAACTACGTATTTACAGTTCAGTTCCTGTGTGAGCTTTCCTTTCAGGTTTTGGCAGAGGTTGAAATGACCTGTTCTGTCTGTTCAGGTCACTCTGTCCCTGCTGACCCTACATGTTCTTTTTGAACTCCACACATATTCAGAGGTTCATTGGTTCAGAACCTCAAGGAACATATTCTTGTCATAAATCCTCCCCAGTCCTCACTGGCAGGGAAGAAGAGAGCCAGAGTTCCAGCCAGGACAGAGCCAGCAAGGGGTGCTCACATGGAGCTGTGCGACAGCAAGGTTGGAACCAGCGGATTTGCAGCACTCTAATTGGTAATTAGGCTCTAATAATCCACAGCTGCTCACCTGGTCAATGTAACCTTTATTGTGCTGCTGCACAGGACCAACAATCTGTTGTCTTAGTCTGGAGTAATCTTGTTAATGGGCATAAATCATTTCCTGAGAGCCCTACAAGATGGGGCCACAGGGGCTGAAATGGAGCTCATCTGGGCATCATTCTCCAGCAGTGGCAGCCTCTCCTTTCCCTCCTTCAACCAGTGACTCAGACTTTTCCAGAGATCACAAACACTTGTAATAAGCACTTTTAGCTGCAAGTAGCCTTGGTGAGGCGTGCTGGACTCTGCTTCAGAATTGCTTGGAGGGTTTTGAAAGGAGTGCCCAGGAAAATTATATGTTTGGCCATAGTAACAAGAAAAGATAAGAGAGAGGACAGGCTGTAATATTCTCTGGTGCTGCATACATGCAGAGGAACAAAATGCAGAGGTGATTGTGATGGAGGGTGCTGTGTCATGGCTGAGGACACTTTTCACATGAATGGCCCAGCACCAAGGGGCAGAATCACTGAATTGGCTGCTGCAGGTGGTGCCTCTCCTTTTTATGATTATTTATAGTGCACTTGTTCAGCAAAACCTCCCAGTCTGTGCTCTCCACATCTGTAGAACAGACCAGGGAATGCAGCTGCAGGTTGGACATTTGTGGCAGCACAACTGCCAACTAATTATTGCTGCTATTTCAGGGTTTGCTAAGAGGCAGGGTGTGTTGGGATTGCCCAGGAAAGGACAATCTGCATGTCTAAGGAAATGTCAGCTGGATGTGAGCAGGATTGTCCCCTGAGAAAGCCCAGCCATGGCTTCTAGGGGCTCAGCAATTCCATGCAGAACTGTGCATCTCCACATTTTGGGGGATGCTCTAGGCAATATTAACCTTCCAAAAATATTATAAGTACTTGTTTAACTCCCATCCTCTGCTATGTGTCACTTTCCACCTTGCTGTGGCCCTGTTTGTCCAAGGAAAAGGAAGAATAAGATCTTCAACTGCAAAAATGAAAGAACAATGCCTGAACAGTATTACACTGAGCATTAGAAGTGGCTTCCAAAATGTTTCTTTTCTTCCTGCCTTCAACCACCAGGAAGTTCCCAGGTGCAGGAAGCCCACTGGAAGAGTTGAAATCTCCTTTATTTAGTATGACAGCACTGCTCTGTGTTTAACTTGTGAATGTTTGTGGAAGATCTCACAGCTCATGTGACATTACATTGCCTCCGATATAATGATGGCAATGTGAATGTGGGAGCCAATTTGGATGGCATTTCTCTTCATGCAATAACTGAATATTATTTCAATGTACTTGTAGCAAACTGCTATCTCACAGGCCCTGTGTCAGGTCTATGAATTCCTGTACTGAAATCAGAATTATCCCTCAATTATCCATCCTAGACACATCTGGGATGGCCCTGACAGACCCAGCCCTACTTTACTTCGCAGTGGGGAAAGGCATGAGGACATTCACCTTCTGTTTTAACACTCCAGAAACAGCTGATAATGCCCATCACTAGCAGTAGCCATACCTGCAGAGTTTATTTATTTTTTTGTCTGTACTCCTGTCAGTGCTTTATTTAATTGAAAAACTCAAAATCAGAGCAATTGTGATCAAACTCTCAGTGGCCTGGGCCCACTGGGAAGTGCTCACTTCAGCTCTGAGGCAGGTAAGAATTTGGCAAGAGGTAATTTTTTATTTCCTCATGTACACAGAAACACCAGTGGAGATCAGCACCCCATTGTGTAATCCCTATTACACAGCAAGGGAAAGGCTGGCTTAAAAAAAAAAAAATCATTCACTTTAAATAAAGCAGACAAAAAAAAATATTGCTCTTTTATATAGCATGTGTGAAGGTGCTGGGAGATTAAAGTTATTATCCTAAAGCCACGGGGGAAGTTTGTGACAGGGATTTAATTTGCTTTGGGGACACCAGTTCAGGTGAGTAGCACATGAGTGACCAGGCTCTGCTGGATATTTACAACACCCACTTACGGATTTCAACTGGGAGAATCTATGTTAAAATGTTTTATAATATGTTTTTATCATATTTTAATGCAGTGGTGATTTAAGGCAAAATACCACGTGGAAGCTCAATTTATTTCATTCACAAGAATGAGACAAACAATGAACATTGAGCTCTGCATTCTAGGGAGTTTTCCATTATCAAAGGTCCTTGACTGTATAAAAATATTAATACAAAAACAAAGCTCAGAATAATTATTTTGGTCTGTGTCATGGCTACTGTTATTAATAAGGGCCATTTTTGACCTTTCCATTATTTGATTGACCTGCTTTAGCCAATACTGCCCATTTAAATGTGCAACACTGTCAAATCATTGGAAACTGAAATCCTTTGAAAGTACTCCTGAATTTGGCCATTAAATAATGTCCTGGCAAATACATTTGAGATGCACAATCCTACAAAAAATGAAGCTGTGAACAAAGTGTGTTGGATAGAATGTGCGCTCTGTCTTCAGAGCCACCTAGGTTGGGACTCCAGGGTAGATTTTTATTGGTGTGGAAAATAATATGTTGTGATTTTTATTATTTTTTTGTGGTCGGATTTTCAGTTTTATCTGCTCAAAAAATATAATTGCTTCCCAGCCAGGAAGTTCTTTATTTCCTGGAAACTTGAAAATACTTGGATCAACCAGGCATTTCTACAGGCTCTTTGGAGTCCTAATGAAGAAATGGGCTGATGAAGAAAGCTTTGATCAGCTCCATTTCTGCTCCTAAACCCATGGAAAACAGAAGTATTATTCTCAGGCTCTTTGGGACTCTTCCAGTGCTCCTGAGGCAAAACTCCCAGAAAAGCTGATGACAAATTTTTCCAGTAAAAAAGCCATTGGCTTGACTATGTCTCATTATAATCATTGTCTCACAAGGATGGAAACAGATGAGCGCTGAAACACGACTGGGGTATTTCAAAATTCAGCACACTCATGGAAATCTTCCCTTGGCATATCTTTGGCAGCCTCATGGAGCCCCAGAGGGGTTTTATTTGGAACAATTAAGGCAGAATGAGAACAGGGCAATCAGGGCAATCATGAGAAGGATTTTTTCCAGGGATTTCAGATAAAAAGTCTGCTGTGTCAGATGAAAAGTGGTTTGTGATGTGGAAATATATGGCCATGTGGTCCACAATAAATAGTTCAAAGCCTGCCAAGGAACTACAGGTTGGGTTTGTGTGGTGTGTGAACTTGTGTAAGACTAACTCAAAACCTCAGCAATGTGAATATTCATTTTGTTTTCCAGAATAGGCTACCAGATCCCACTGTTTGTTGGCTTCTGCATCATGTTTGTGTCAACCATCAGTAAGTGTCCATGTCTCACTTGGTCTGGCCTAGGCACAACTTTTAAATGAATGGTCCACAATAATTATCACTAGGAATTCTTCTTGTTGGTGATTGGGGACTGATTCCCAAGGAAAATTTTAGGGGAAATTTGAGGGAAAATTTGAGTCAGCTCCACATTGATGGTGGCGCTGATAAGATTGGACAAGGGAACCTGATCTGAGGGGTCACAACCCTTCATCCCACCTCAGCAGAACCTTCCTTAGCTGAGCCTTTCAGGTATTTCTGATCTGCAGCAGTGCTCAGACATTGTAAATAGCCATGGGAGAGCTGCCTTGCAAGGCCCTGTACAGGCAGATACCATGGGGGTTTATCAGGAAGATTGTGAGGCTGCAGTGGCTCATGAGTGGGGTATGAGTCAACAGGATCAGAGTGTTGCTAAACATCTCTGTGGGATGTGCAAACAGCAGCACAGCCTGCCAGTCAGCTGAGATAATTTCCCTGCTCTAATGGCATTGATAAGGCTTCAGCTGCTGGTTTATGTTTGGCTTTGGCCTGACATTTAAAGCTGTGGTCCAGACAGAAAGAGTACAGAGAACATCAAGGTTCATTAGAAGCCTGTGAGGATCAGTGAAAGAACTGTTTTTAACTCAAAAGGCAGATGTAAGATGCATTACAGCCTGTGACAAAAAGAAAGGAAGGGGACAAACAGTTTTCCAGGTCCTCTGTACATAAAAGAAAGAATAATGAGAGGATTCCCAGAGGGGATGTGGATGGCACTTCCCTGGAAGTGCTCAAGGCCAGGTTGGTCAGGGCTGGAGCAGCCTGGGATAGGGGAAAGTGTCCCTGGCCATGGCAGGGGACTGAGCCAGGTGATCTTTCAGGTCTCCTCTAACACAAAACATTCTGTGAGTCTATGATCCTAAAGCTGTATCATCAAGGGGACTGAAGTACTAGAGAAGATGATCTGGTCCTAGAGCCACTGACAACTCTGTCACCATGTTAGATAAATTCTGGTTGGGATGTAGATAAGAGTAGGGAGCCTAACTCATGGCAGGGAACTGCTGATCTGCTGAAGTCCTTTTTTTCCTTTATTTTTATGTGTTCACACTGTAGGGATTTTTGTGAAATGTGGTGAAAAGCCCCACAGGGCAGGTGGGAGGAGTGGATCCCATGTTTGGTTGGTGCATGACACCTTCCTGCAGCTACAACCTGCCCAGCAAACTCCCTTAGGTGGCCAAGAGATGGGAGCTGAAAAAAAAGCTTTGTAAACTCACTGTAGAGTCAATGACAATGACATGGGCTCTGCAAGCAGGGATGTGGTTGGGTTTCTGAGAAACTCCTGTTTTCCAGTGCTGTGGGTGGAGAATTTAGCCAGGCTGAGGGCAGCACCCAGGGGCTCTGTCCCAAAGGACAGGGAGTGGCTGAGGGTGAGCCCTGGGGTTGAATCTCCTGGGGAAATAAAGTGGCAAATTTCTCTGCTAGAAGCAGGAGAGGGAATTTGCTGAAGGTTTTGAATGGGGGGATCTGCCTTCCCTGCACCTTCAGCCAGCTGTGCTCCACACATCTGGCAGCACCAGGGGAAAACCTCTCTCCACCCGCTCGTTACTGGAGGCAGCATTGGTGCTTGCAGCAGCACGGAGAGGTGAGGCTGCAAAGAAAACTCTCATTACTCCTCCTGTGTGCAGCTGAACCAGAGCAGAGGTAATCAAATCCTGAGTAATTAGTTAAAACTGCTTGGGCTCCTGCATTCTGTGTCACCTGGAGGCTTAGACACCTGGGAGCAATTCAACACTGACACATCCAAATGCAATAAGGGAAAATAATGCAGTTAGCATTGAAAGTGGCACAAGTCACTGTAAACACTTCACTGAATTGTAGGAAGTTTTTGTGATAGTTTCAAGAAATCTAACTTTTTAACCTAGTTATCGTTAACCTAATTTTAAAAATTACCTCTGTTTTTTATTTCTTTTTTCTTGCAGTGTTTGCCTTCTCTGGAAGCTATGCACTGCTATTTATTGCCAGGTCCCTGCAAGGAGTGGGTTCCTCTTGTTCTTCTGTGGCAGGTAGGAGATGATAGAGGAAAATGCAGATAACTTTCAGTCTTTTTTTAAATTGAATTTTATCAGCACATTCAATAATCAATACAAAATATTATATAATTAATATACGCAACATATTTATTATATATTTGTATATTAATTATATAATATTTTGTATTAATTATTGAATGTGCTGACACATTCAATAATTAATTGAAATTATTATATTTATAATGAATATACTCTCTATAAACAAAATATAATTATATTATATAAATATAATAATAGCTATTTATAATTATATATGTATATAGAGTATATACTCTATATATACAAAATATATAATTAATACAAAATATTCAGTTGAATCAATTTCTTTTTTTGTTTTTCTGTCTCTTTCATATGAAGTAGCTCAAAAGCAAATGTCTTTTAAGACTTCCTTGCTATTTGGGTTGCAGTAAGGTAGAACACTAAATGAACTGCACTCTCCCTGGGATTTCTGCACCTGTGTCTTCAACATTTTAAATTCATTTTTAGCCATTTTAAAGGTCACTGGGAACTTATGTTGGTACTTATTACAGTTAGAAAAGCAGCTCTGTCTGTTATGGAAATTTCTGTTATAAAATGTTGTTTTCACGGGCTTACCATGCTGGCTGCCAGTTTAGGTACCAGAGTTCCAAAAAAAGTGTCTCATTTTTAAATGAGTAGGTAGAATGGAGTATGGGTTTTCAGCCCAAATTATTTGAGCATTCTTGAGGCTGAGGCTGGAGAAAATACATTTTGTTCATGCTGAATATTCCAATCTTGGAAAAATTTCCTGCAATGGCAGGAACTGACATCAGTTAGGGCTGCAAGTGAAGCTTTCCCAAGGGAAGACATGCCAGAATGAAAATTATTGTTCAGCTGTAACTCAGCCCCTGTGCAAGGGGGCACCTTCAGCTGTGGGCTCTTAGGTGAGCACAAGATTTTCTTTTTTCTCAGCCAATGAACACAAAAGAGCAGAAAAGGCCAAGGGACCATCTATTCCACCCCTTCCTGAAGGCAGGATCAGCTTAATATCTGTCATTCCTCATGCACACTTGACAGGCCTGACCTCAGAAGCCTCCAGAGCTGCCCTCAGCATCCAGCTCAGTGCTTAAGCGCCTTTATGGCCAGGAAGGTTTTTTGTTCCTGATGTCTCATCTAAAGGCTCTCTGCTGCCATGTGAGCTGATTTCTGCTTGCCCTCCTGCAGAGAACACAAAGATCAGTTTCCTTTCTTTATCTTCCTGGCTCTCTTTTGTATTGCGAGGCTGTTACCACCTCTCACATCGGTTTTATCCTCTGGTTTTGAATTGGGAGTCCTGTGTTGTCCCTCACAGATGTTATTCTGAGCTATTGCCATTCTCTGCATGGTCCCCAGGCAGCCCCAGATTTCTCCCTGTGCTGCACCAGAGCCAGACCCAGCTCTGAGAGAAGCTCTGGCTCCTTACAGGGCCCTCACCCTGCATCTCAGAGCAAAGGAAATTTTGTGAGCCGTTGCTGGCAGTCATTCCCTCCCCTGCATTTGTGTGCACAGTCATTCCTATCCATGTGTGACAGAACACATGGATATACATCTGTGTCCTAGAACTTTGTGTTATGGTCTTTGCATTTCCCCCTCCTTTTTTTTTCCAGAATATTTCCCCAAATCCCACATTCATTGTGAATTTTAATGCAGCTCTCCAGCTGCTCATGCAAACAATTTGATGTCATCCACTCTTTTCAATAAACGTGGTGATCCACTCAGGACCTCTGCTCTTTTGGTGATGGATGGTATTTACTGAGTGATCAACCATGCAATGTATTGTTTTCCTCCTCTGTGTAGCTGCAGAACTTATTTACTGAGTCCTATGTAAATCTTGATTTGAAAACAGAATTATTAATTTCTATAAGGACTCTCCTGCAGCATTTACGTCTGCGGTGTCTGAGTGCTCCACAAAAAGACAAGCAAATTAGGCTTCATGTTTCCTTTTGTGAAATGAAGGCTCATCATCAAGTGCAGAAATAAGGCATGTGGAGATAAAGGTCAAAAGGATCCTTTAATTTTTTTGTGCTGAACTTGAAACACTCATTTACAAAGCAATCAGCTCTGCATAATACCTCATGCCCAGAGCACTGTCCACAGTGGGAGCTAAGTGGTCACCAGACCTTTGTGCACTCTGAGTATGAATAAATGATGGTGAATACTTGTCAGAGGCTTTGATTCTGCTCATTGGAAAGCATCATCAAAAAGCTCTGTGACAAAGAAAATAATAAAGAATCTAACAAATAAGGGCATCACTAAATTACCTGACTAATGCTGCACAATAGAACGTGGTCTTGGGGACCATCAGTGCTGCCAGAACCATTTTTGCTTGGAAGTTGATTCTATGGGAAGGGAGTATACATATATATATATATACAAAAAAACCAAAAGCAAAAACAAACACTTGGCTATTTCTGTATAATGTTTAGTAGGTGTGGCAAATGACGACCATTAACTGTAGCACACATGTGCCTAATTTTGTGCTGTGCTTTATTCTTATGTCTATTTATTTATTTATATTTATTTTATATCTCTTTATTTATTTTTATTTATTTTCTTATGTCTCCTTATCTATTTACTTATTTTTAATTGTAGGGATGGGATTGCTTGCCACTGTTTACACGGATGATGAAGAGAGAGGCAACGCGATGGGAATTGCCCTTGGAGGCCTGGCTATGGGAGTACTAGGTCAGTGAGCTGGAGGCTCTGCTGGCAGAAGAAACCATCCCCCAGCCATCCCAAAGCTTGTTCTTGGGAGCTCTGGAAGCAGCAGAAAGGTCTCCCTTGGGTGTTGTGGCATTGTGTAGTCTCCAGACTGGGTTCATGGTGTATGTGAGGAAGAGCTTTTCCCACAGCAGGCATTCCCTGAGTGTATTCACATGCCAAGCAGTAATCTCTGAGATGTTTGGGTTTTGTTTACAGTGCACAGTGTTTTGGGGAATGGAGAATATGGTTATTGCCATGATCAATGATCTTTGTGGGGATTTTCAAGCTGCATTTTTGGTCGCTGTGTGCCTGTAGCAGGATGCCCGAACGCTCTCAGGGGTTTTGTTGTGTCAGAGTTTTCACAAGTGTGTCCTTTCCTTTCCTTGGCAGTGGGCCCCCCTTTTGGGAGTGTCATGTATGAGTTTGTGGGGAAGAGCTCTCCCTTCCTGGTGCTGGCAGCCCTGGCTCTGTTTGATGGAGGTCAGTAGGTCCCTGCGTCAGTGTCCCCCTGAGGCACAGCCCACTCCTGCTCCTGCCATCCGTCCCCTCCTGCAGGAGAGTCACAGCTTGCCTTTCTTTCCACAGCTGTTCAGTTACTTGTCCTGCAGCCCTCCAGAACACAGGCAGAAGTGAGTATTAAGGTAAAACACTGCAGCAATGGGTGTCACTTTGCCTTTCCTAATCCCAAGTTTTTGTTTCACAGAGTCAGAAGGGGACACCTTTGCTGACACTCCTGAAGGACCCATACATCATTATTGCAGCAGGTACCAGACCTTTTTTTTCCTTCTTTAAACCAACCATGGGTGTCATTCCTACCCTCTTGGCATGCCTTGGGCTGAGCTGCTTTAACAACGTTGTCATTTGCTGGTTTACTTTATGCAAATTTCTAATAAGAATGTGTTGGTAATACAGGATGAATGAACCAGCAGAAGCACAATAGGCAGAAAATCTGAAATAAATGTGTCTTTCCAACTGAGAGGCCACTGATGACTTCCAGGTGCCTGCTGGGGCAATGAGATGTGGCCAGGAAAGTTCCTGTGAGGAAAGTGACTTGGGCCAGGGCCTTAGAGTGAGGGATTGCCAGCACAGCACAGGGAGGCACAGGGAATAGCACTGAACTTTGTTCCTGTTTGAAGAGGGAGTGAGTTTGGTCTCTTGAGTGTGAATTGTTGTATTTCAGAAAAGGGCTGGTGGAATGATGAATGCTGTTTGGTATTATATATTTTTTCTGATGAGCCTTTCTGTCTCAAAAGAAGTTTGCCTTTTTGCATTGCACGTTGCTGAATGTTTATTCTGAAGTCTGTAATTAAGCCTGGCCCTTTCTAATGTTGACAAAACACCAGGAAACAGATAATTATTTTCACAGTTCTGTTACATCATCCTAACTTGCTTGTCTAACAGTGCAATTCTTCCAGACATTTCTGGAAATTTTCTGTTTATTGCTGGTCTTAGGGAATTATCATAACCTTAACTCTGTGACTTGGTTGAGCTGTGACTGAAATTATACAAACCCTTTTGCTTGAGAAATTCTTGCAGCATGAAAAAACCACTGAATAAAAGTATAGCAAAGACAGTTCTTGTGATAAGAGATCAGATTTGTCATTCAGCTGATTCAGTAACTTCTCCTACAGCAGTTAAAGTATATAAAATATGAGAAATCCCCATGGATTATCAGTGGGATTAAGGGGAGCACTTGGGGTCTCTGTCTCCCAGGACAGAGGCTGCTCAGTGCTGTGACAGTACAGGTGATGTTCTCTGACCTCAGCCTCTTCTCCTTGCTTAATTTCCTTTGCAGACCAAATTTGGTTCTGTCAAATGCCCAGGTTTGTGTCAGAGGTGATGCTTCACAGCCTGTGCCATCAGTACCCTGACCAGGCAGAAGAAATGTCCCTGGCATGTTTTGTCCCTGCTGGTGGGAGTGAAATCAGTGTCATTCCTGAAGCCCAACCTCACTGACAGGGATTACAGGAAAATCAGGAAAATCAGTGCTGCTGCCTGACAAAGCTGCATGGACAGACAAGTTGGTTTAAATGATCTAAAAACCAGAGACAGACATCACCATGAGCACACCTTGGGAAGGCGTGGGACAGCTCTGCACTGGGTCCTGCTCTTCCACAGGGAAATGCCACTGATGTCTGTGGCACTCTGCCAAAATCTGGGGAGGTTCTGGGCCCTGGAGATGGGATTCAGCTGGAAGGCTGCAATTTCCCACCTTCTGGCCAACACAGGTCATTTAATCCCACTCAAGGAGGAAAAGATGTAGGATTCCTGCCCTTGACTCATGGCACTTAAAAGTAAGGTCAGCTCCAGGCAAGACTGAGGGAAAGAAATAATTTATTTTCTTTTGGGGAAGCTTTGCTGAGGTAGCAGGCTCTTGCCCTGAGATTGCAGAGCACAGCTCAGCCTCTCACTTTTCTCTTGGGGCACGTTCTAGGTCTGAAGCACCTTTATCAACATATCCCTGAGCGCTTTGGCAAGCTCTGGTGCTGCTTCTTGGCCTAAAGAGAAGCAGGTGCCACAACCAAGTGCAGGCACACCTGTTTCTCCTTCCTTTGTGAGCTTTGTTCAGCATGGAGTAAACTGAATAGAATAGAAAATTTAATTAAATAGAATATTCAATTAAATAGAATATTTAATTAAATAGCAAATCCTTTGCTATTGAAGCTCTCTCAGAACGGTCCTGCTGCCTCTGCCTGCATTTTGTGCAGCCTGAAATGCTTTTTCCAGCATCAGGGAAGCTGTTTGAGCCTGGCTGGTTGTGGCTTGGGAGAGCCCCAAGGAGTTTAACTGGGGCTCCTTGCAGACCCACTCTGGGAGCTTGCACCCAAGTGGAAAGGTTGGCTTTTGTCCTTAGGGCAAAGCAGTGCTGAGCTGTTGCTCCTTGCCTGGGGAAGGGAGAGAGCCAGCTAGCCAGCAAGGTCGTTTTAGGAATAGTCTAATGTATTCTGACAGCTTTGAGCAAGGAATGACATCAGCGCTCATTTGGTTTTGAACCTTGTGATGAGGAACTCCCTCTGAGAGAAATAATGCCTCTCTGACCTCTGAAAAATATGGATTTTTTTTTTTTTAAGGTAGAATTTGTATAGTAAACGACTGGAAGAGTCTAGAATATTTTCCTGAAATTCAGAGATTGTAAATATTAGGAAGAAAGGGAACACAAGTCTGAGGTTGTCACTTGCAGCAGTGATTCCCAAGAGCCATTTTAAAGGGATTAGCAGAGGGGACATGTCCTGTTGCCCTGCATTAAGCCTCGAGTGCCTGAGGGTTTTTTGAGTAAGTGTGAAAGGCATCTTGAATCCCAAGAAATACCGTGGGGTTTCTTAATCCCTGCTCTGGAGCTGAAGTGCAGCACTGAGAGAGATGAGCACCACCCAAACCCAAACTGGATTCTGGCTCTGCAGGCACTGGGGTAGGGCAGAGCTGAGCAGGCAGCCAGGCTGAATCAGCACTTCCACCCTTGTTATCCTTTGTGCTGGGTTATTGAGGGTGCAGGGATTCAAAAGAGATTTGAAATTCACAGGGCTGTGCAAATCTTAAAAGAGATTTGAAATTCACAGGGCTGTGCAAGCTCAGAGCCAAAGCCACGTTTGCTGCCCCACTGCTGCCTGTAGGATCTCCAGATAAAATCCCCATTTTTGGGAGCAGCCATCCCTGTGTTTGTACCTTGGTATTTCCAGGATCAAGCCTCCACTTGCTGCCATGTGGGGCAGGATGAGCTCTCAGGTGGCAGAGGCACAGGGTCAGAGCCTGAGCCTCTTGCACAGCAGGGCTCTGCTATTGCCCCAGGAGAGCACGTAAAGACCAAGTGGTTGTGGTTTTAGCTAATCATTTGTACAACAGACCTCGTGAACTTTCCAAATGTCATCAAGCTCACCGCAAACTTTCACATTATGAAATAGCTTAACCTTTATTGTAGAATTTCTAGGAGAATAGAAACATATAAAAAGTTAGCCTTCGGTGATTTTACACTGTGTTCTATTTAATGTTAATCACCATCTGACACATGACAAATAGGGCTGGGAAATAAGCCCTAAAAGTGAAATATTTTATGTAAAACCAGTAAAAAGTGAAAATATTTTACGTAAAAGATTTTATGTAAAACCAGTAAAAAGTGAAAATATTTTATATGTAAAAGATTTTACGTAAAACCAGTAAAAAGTGAAAATATTTTATGTAAAAGATTTTACGTAGAACCAGTAAAAAGTGAAAATATTTTATGTAAAATATTTTATGTAAAACCAGTAAAAAGTGAAATATTTTATGTAAAACCACCCATTCTTTGCATGGTGTTTTGTTTCTAGTCAAAAGAAATAATTACTACTATTTTTTTCCTCTCCCCTTCTTTCTTTAAGGCTCCATCTGTTTTGCAAACATGGCTATTGCTATGCTTGAACCAGCTTTACCCATCTGGATGATGGAGACCATGTGCTCAAAAAAATGGCAGCTTGGTAAAGTACAGTGCATTGTTTGCATCTCTATATTTTGTCTATTGAGTTCTGGTCCTGTTAAGGATTATTTGCTTCAGGGGGGTAATTTAAATTATTTTTTTACAATTTGTAAAGTGTCAGTGTTAAACCTGTGCAATTATGAACACTGAGTATATAAGAAAAGTATTACACAGTGGGGTGATGTTGTTGAAACAGAGGTTCCTGGAATGGGCTACACCCAACTACTGAACTATTTGAACTATTTTTCAAGGAAAAACAGTTGCAGGCAGCCTCAGGAGTGGTGCTGATCCACCTCCATTGGGAATCCCAGCACTGCTCTGGCTGTGGATGTTGGCCAGGGCAGCTGCAAGGTGCCTGTTGAGCTGCAGAGGAGCCTTGCACAGCAAAACCCTTTGGTTTTTTCCCTGCAGGGAGCCCCTCCTCAGTCCCTGGTTGGAATTGCACAGGCAGGCAGGCACAGGGATGTGCAGCAGGTGCTCTGTGCACAGGGATGTGCAGCAGGGTCATGGCAGCACAGCCTCCTCCTCACACACACGTGGGGGAAAGATGGACTGCTGCTTACAACGTGGACACGAGGAGCCCTTTCCCTTGGGATTTACATATTTGGCTTCTTTAGTGGTCGCTTAATCATCCCTTTCAACAGAAAGCAGTGGGGAACCCCACCTTGGACCTTGTCATGAGTTTTAGCAGGGACACAGCCTTGGGAAACCAAATCCATGAGCAAACATGGAATGTGCTCCATTTGCCCTCCAGAGGAAAGTGGGACAGTTACTTTCTCTTTGAGAGGAACAGGAGCAGGAAAAAACCACCAGAAAGTGGATTAAATTCTAGTGAGTGATGAACTATGTGTGAGAAGTTTATGTGAATCTTCTTAAGTGGGCAATGCTCAGCCTTCATCTATCTCTGATTAATTTAATGGTGTGGTCATGAGGGTACTTTTTAATATCAGTGTATAGTTTGAAAGAAAAAGAAAAATCCTTCATGAAAATGATGTTCAGCTGATATCCCTGCTGTGTTAATGTACACATTGCATCCTATAGAAAGCACAAATCTTAGTTCTAATTAATGCAATTGAGATTTAGAGTGGCCACAGATGCAGTTCTTAATGAGTGAACCTCTTATGAGTTCTTAATGCTGAACCTGGCCATAACTTCTAGCCTGCAATACAGCAGAATGAACATGCAAACTTGGGTATTTTGAACCTCAAAAAGGAAAAATAAATATTGCCTATCTACCTCCCTCACCAGTTTCATATTGCTGCTGCAATAGAAATGAGATTTACAAATATCTTCATTGAACAGAGGTCACTAGAAGGAAAATATCTATTTTAAATTAAGACTTATTTAACCCCTTAATGATACAAGTAATTGACTCCCTTTTACTTGGTCTGATTTGACAGCATTAATTGAATTTTTTTAACCCTCTTAAATTATAAATTGAACTGCAGGGTTTTAAGCAAATTATTATCTTATGCAGTTGGAAGCCAGCTGTGTGAGGCATGATCTGAGGAAGGTATAAAGAACCTTGATTTGACCAATGAATATTACTGTGCATAAAGCCCATTTAGAAAATTATAGTTCTGCCTCAGTACACCACAGCTTACAGACCAGCCTGTTCCAGTCTTATTTAACAAGATTTTGCAGTACAATTTCTCTTTTACAGCTGTCAAGGTCTGCTCTGTGTGACCATTTGGTATAACCAGACAGCTCCAAGCAGTACTGAAGTAGCTGTGGTTACACAGGCTGAAATTAAATATTTCCCCAGCACCACCACTATAAAACCCACAAGGTTTTTAATCACAGGATATTGCTGTGCTAAAAATTACCTCTTGTTTTTTTTTCTTATGAATATATCAGAGAGATGGGAAGGAAGATGGATAGGCAGGAAATGAGAAAAGCCCTGTTGCCCTGGTGGAAGATGAGGAGCACACACACGAGAGGCAGGGCTGGGATTGTGCACCCTGACACCACAGCTGATTTCTGCATCTCTGGCTGGGTCCTGCCCTGGGATTCTGTGCAAGGAGAGGAGGAGTCCTCCAGTACAGACTGTAATAACTGGGTTTTAAACCAGAGGTGTCACCAGACAATAGGATCTGCTCTAGATACAGCCACTGCTGTGGCAACCTCAGGGATGGAAAAGCATTGCTGGTGCCAGAAATGTGTTTTTCCAAGTGGAGGTGGGAAATGAGAGAGACAGAATTTACTCAGGTGTCCTCATCTGCAAGCTATCACAGTTTCAAAATTTGTTATTTTACTTACAGCAATATTTTAAAAATAATTTTTAAAGTTGTATTACTTATTTTTTAAAAGTTTTATTACTTATTTTTTAAAGGTTTTATTACTTATTTTTTGAAGTTTTTAAAGTTTTATTTTACTTTAAATTTTTAAAAGTTTTGTTGCTTATATTTTAAAGTTTTATTACTTATTTTTAAAGTAATTTTTTAAAAAGAAATTAAGAAGATGTTGGCTAAATAATTTTAATAGTATTTTAAAAGGTTTTTTATCCTTACATCATTGATACGTGCTTGGCCAAGGGCAGTATCAAGCACTGCAGACCTGCCTGTGGCAGGGGGCTCGGTGGCATTGCCAGGCTCAGAGGGGCACTGTCACTTGCAGAGCCCTGCTGTCCCCTCCTGCAGGGGATTCACCCACCCTGAGCACCTGCTCCACAATCCTGGGCTGCTCTCCTTCACCCATCCCACAGCTTATTGCAGTCAGACATAAACTTTCTGCTCTTTGTTGTTCTGTCCCCTCTCCCAGAGCACTTCTTGTATCTAATGCTGAAAAAGTCTTTTTTTTTTCCCAAGGCATCAGGTTGCTGCTGCATTCCACAGATGATGTCCTTAGATTTCACGGGGAGGCTGCAACAAACCGGATATTTGATTCTTTGGGCTCCATTAGATGTGTCCAGATGAAAATTGCAGTGTCTGGCATTTATTAGTTTCTTCGAACATGTCCCTGAAAGCCTTGCTGATAAAACCTCTCATTCATATTTTTCAGGCGTCGCTTTTCTTCCAGCCAGCATCTCTTATCTCATTGGGACCAATCTTTTTGGGATACTTGCACACAAAATTGGAAGGTATGCTTAATTTAAAAATACTAATCACCTCCCAGTCTCTTCATGTACCATTTCCAGTGTTTCCCTGGGCAGTTTATTGATAGTGGAAATTATTAAAGCTTGTTCTATAGGAGCAAAATTGTTTTTTTTTTTTGAACACATTGCTACTTTTGCTGTTTAACTCAGCGCTTCAGACATGGCTTTGAAACATTCATTAGGATCAGCTCTAACATCTCATTATCACCATCTCTGAGTGATGTTTCTTCTTTGGTAGGTGGCTTTGTGCTTTGCTCGGGATGCTAATCGTGGGAATAAGTATTTTATGTGTAAGTAGACAATCACACATCTTCTAAATCATGTGAATGTTGGGGTGCTCGTCTTCAAATATGTGCTTTTCCCATGAGAGTTCTATGACATGTTATTAAACAATGTGTGGTTAATAGGTTCCAGATCAGGGTTTTGAGTGCTTTCCTATTTCAGTGCTTCAATTATTTTTAGAAATGATGACTCTGAGAGGAGCATGCTGCTCTGTTGAGCTGTCACTCAGCAGTTTATAATAGTAAGTGTGTCAGTGGTTTAATGGCACAGTTGTCTGAAATGACGGCTCAGAACAAGGATCAGACTCCCAGATCTGTACAAAGTGGGCCATAACTACTTGGAGAATTTATCACAGAAAAAGATGCTAACCACCATGTGCAGTATGGTGTAATTAACTGCCTGAAATTTCCTTTGTAGGTACCGTTTGCTAAAAACATTTATGGGCTCATAGCACCAACTTTTGGAGTTGGATTTGCCATAGGTAAGAACATTTGCAATGAGTTCTTGCAAGAGTTATTTACATGAGCTCTGTTATTTCTGTAAAAATGATTTGATATGAAGTTACACAGAAAATCAGTTTTGTTGCCATTCTGATCTAACAGTGGTGCACCTGAGCTGTGGCCCAAACTGGCAGGCAAAGCAAGAAGGAATTAAGGGACAGTGCTTGGGGAGTTTGAACCAGGCTGCTTTAGACCAGCTGGAGCCCCAGGCCTGTCCAGAACTGCTCCATCCACCTAAACAGACCTTTCAACCCATCCATGAATTTAAATGTTGTTTTTAGAAATGCAGCTGTGCTCTGCCCCAAACCCGCAGCCTTTCCTGCAGAGGAAAAGGATTTATGTAGACATTTCCACTGGAATAAAAGGCTTAAATTGTACATAAAGAGGAATTCCCAGGCTCACACACATGTATTCTTCAAGTGACATGTGTGACTTTCCTTACCCTGGGCTGTGCACTGGGGACCCTGCCTTGTTTTCAGCGCTTGGTGCTCAGCAAATGTCCTGGGGCATCTCCACACCAGGGATGTGCAGTGAGGAAAGAAGCTACAGGAACAAATTATCTCAGCACTTTTGTGAGCTGTCTGTGCTGTTTCTTGCCAGAAATGAGGATGTGTGCAAAAAGACATGATAAAAACACTGTCAATCATTTTGGTTGACTGGGGGCTAATGTTGTCTTTTAGGCCTTCAGCCAGGGCAAGTTCACACCAGATAACTTTGCCCTAATTACTTGGCAGGGAATGTGAGGTGGGAGCTTTGCTCTGACACTTGGTGGGAAGTGTGGATACATCCTAAACTCACATCTCTCCTGTCCTTTAGCAGGTGCCACCTCTATACATGTCCACACATGACTCTGGGCACAGCAAAGACCATAAAAAGCAAAGCTAACACAGACTATTGTACACAAATCTTGCTGTGTACACCTGTACACATGTCCACACATGACTATGGGCACAGCAAACACCATAAAAATCAAAGCTAACACAGACTATTTTACACAAATCTTGCTTAGTTATGAACAAGCATCCTTTTAGCTGCTTTTGCACCCCTTCTTGGCACATCATTCACCAAAAAAGGGTTAAAAGGAGGGGAAGAAAAGGCAGCATTTTCCTGGGACGTGTTTTGCAGGGATGGTGGACTCCTCCATGATGCCAATCATGGGCTACCTGGTGGATCTGCGCCACGTGTCAGTCTATGGCAGTGTGTATGCCATAGCTGACGTTGCCTTCTGCATGGGTTTTGCCATAGGTAAGTCCAGCCTCTCCCTGCCTGGAAAGCACAGCTAAGAAAAGCAGGAAACTGCTACAATGCCAGCTGTGAATCCCAGTGGTGCCTGCAGGTTTTATGAGGGGAGGTTCTTATTTTCTGCAAGAAATCAGAGTTAGGGGGGATTGCGTTTGGCATCATTCCCCTCCCCTGCTGCAATTTGTGCTCATTTCATGAGCTGTGAGAGGCCTGAAGGTGTCTGAGGGCAGTGAACACAAATGGGATATGCTGAGGAAAGAGGCCTTGGGATACTTTAATACCACAGCTGTGCTCCAAGGGTCTGTGGGGGAATCACTCCCCCCTGACCCCCTTGAGAGCATGACAGAGATGCCCTCAGGAATATCTCTAATCTCCCCAAGGAATGTGGGCTATGGAGCCAGGAAAGTTTTATGATTGTTTAATCATATTATATTTTAATTTATATTTTATATAATTATATATATTATATAACATATATATTAATAGAATATATGTTTTACATATATAATATAATATACAATATATATTATATATGATATAAATTATATATATTATATATATTTACATAAATTTATATACAATAACTTTATTATAGATAAAATTTACAAATATTATCTATTATATTATATATAATTTTATAAATAAATATAAATAATAATATATAATATGTATATAATATATATTATTTATAATTATATATTACTTATATAATATATATAATATTTATATATAAATATATAAAATTATATAAAATTTATTATATATATAATTTATATAATTTTATATAATTATATATATTATATAATTAGATATATTTATGTTTAATCATATTATTTTAAATTTATATATTATATAATTATATATAAATTTATATATAAATATATATTATATAACATATAGATTAATAGAATATATGTTTTACATATGTAATATAATATATAATATATATTATATATTATATAAATTTTATTTATAGAAATGTATATTTATATAAATTTATATATAATAACTATTATATATAAAACTTATATATTATATATAATATATAATTTTATGTATAAATATATAATATGTATATAATATCTATTATTTATAATTATATATTATTTATATAGTACATATATTTATATATAAAATATATAAAATTATATGAATTTTATTATATATAAAATTTATATAATTTTGTATATTTATATATCTTTTATATAATTACATATAATTATGTTTAATCATAATTATATTTATGTTTATAATTACAAACACGTCTTTACATTCCTTAAATCTGTTTGTAAGATAGGGGGTTAGTATGCAAAATTGCTTGCATGCAAAATATGCTGCTGCAAGTTTTGTGTCAGAGCAATCTGCAGAAAAGGGTTTTTGTCTGTGCAAGGTCCCTCTGCTGGTGGTGCCATTGCCAAGGCCATTGGATTCCCCTGGCTCATGACAATTATAGGAATTGTGGATATCATCTTTGCTCCCTTGTGCTTTTTCCTTCGAAGTCCACCTGCCAAAGAGGAGAAAATGGTAAGTGGAACTTGGTTTCTTTTTTATAAATTTTGGGTTTTTTCAGTGAAACAAATGATAACTTACATTTGCATCTTTGCCTCTAAGTTCCTCAAAACAGGACTAGCTCAGTGTATTTCATTCTCAGGCATTGACTTTGGAATGAACTCCCCCTTCCTTCTATGTCCAAGATGTATAAAGGCAAACCCTTTATTAATTAGATGTTACAAAGTCACAAATTTGATTTCTATGAAACAGGGTCCTACACACATTCCTCTGCACCAGCATATGCTGTGGTGAAGTCAGTAGAGAATTCATTTCTCTTTTCCTTGAAATTGGCCAGAACTCTATTTGGCCAATTGACCAAATTGTTCCATGGTGTGCCTCAAACTGTTTTTTTCCCCACAGTCCTCTGGGGAAAAAAAATAGAAAAATATACCACAGTGTGTTTTGAATCATCTTTTTTCCTCCTTCTCCTCCCTTCATACAGTTCATGGATCCCTACAAACCAGTGGTTTCTCTTGTGCAGTATGTACCACAAGGCTTCTCTCTTTTCTGTTTTTTAATAAATTGCCAAAGACTTTATGATCTGGAGCACTCAGTGCTCCCCAGACACTGTAGGGTGTGTAAGAACAGAGTCACCATCTGTAGGTTGAGCCCACTCAGCACTCCATCCTTCCTGAAAAAGGCTGATCTGGGCTCAAAATGTAGTTGCTGGTTGTTTATTTGGGTGAAAAGAAACTAATTTTGCATGGTCATGGTTTTATTCTGCAGTGGCACCTCTCCGCAAGGTAAGGACAGCACCTGATGCTGGTGCTGCTCACTTTGTGCTGGCAGCAGGTGGAAAATTGAATCTTGCTGCAATAATGGTGTGTGTGAGGCCAGAGAGCTTCTGTTTGGCTCATGTTTGGACTGCAGAATCCCAGTTAATCCCTTGTCATGACCTTTGCTGAATGCACTGGTTTCGTTTGTTTTGGTTTTTGTACATTAAATAAGGCTGAGGAACAGAAAGGAACAAAAACTCAGCTGCTGTTTCTTGTCAATATAAAATTTCTCAGGTACTTCCATGGTCCCTGACTGTTTGATTTGTAACATCACAACCCTGAAGGGACAGGATCTCTCTCCATGGCTCCAACACCTTCCAGCATCTGCCACCTCTAATATACCTTTAAATGCAAAACAGCTCCTGCTCCCAAGTGGCTCATGGCTGTAAAATGATGTACCAGTTCTTTCAGGTTGGAGGAGAGTCAAAGGAGGGTCCCAAAATTGTGGTCTTTGCATAATTATTAACCCCCAAGCTTAATTACACTCAGCAGGAAGAACACTACACAGTTGCTCCAAAGCTCCTTGGAAAATTTCAGCCCAGAGAATTTAGTATTTTATCTGGCCCTTACCATGATTACCACTTTTAGTTTGCTGTGGGTGTCAAAGCACAGTATTGGGACCATCACTCCTGGCATCATCCTCAGTTTTGCTGTTCTGGATCTCCATGGAAAGAGGGGACAAAGGCAGTAAAAGAGAATTGGCTTGAAGCAGTAGGACTGCTCTTGACCATTCATCCAGCTTTTAATAGATGGAAATTAACTCTGGGAGGGGTAAACTACTGTCTCTGCAGAGGAGGTAGATGTATTTCAGTAACACCCAGGCTGAAATACTGGAAATAGAAATTTTCCAGAGCTGTCTTCAGCACCAAAACCCCCCTCACACAGACGTGTGGACTCAATTTACCCTAATTGCAATCAGTTTGGGCTCTGCCTCAAGGGAGGAGAGGTGAATCCCTGAGTGCAGAAATACTCACACTCTGTTCTCTTCCAGGCAATACTCATGGATCACAACTGTCCTGTGAAAACAAAAATGTACACCCAGAACAACATCCAATCCTACCCCATAGGTGAAGAAGAGGAGGAATATGAAAGTGATGAATAACAGAAAAGCCATATAACATATTTAGGTGTACAAAATGCTGTGGTTCATGTGAAACATCTCATCCAGAAATAGGTTTTAGCTGTACTGTACATTTAATAGTGAAATGGTCAGAAAAACCAAAGGTATATTATTTATTGGTGACTATAAAGCAGACTGCAAACCGCCTTATGGGGGGAAAGAGCTTTTATAGACCATTTGTATAGTGTTACTCTTTGTGTATTTAATTTTATTGAATATTACACTCTATTTTTTATTAAATGTGTAGCATAAATCTGTATAAAATGTGAATTTTAACTATTTGGTTTTTAAAGTCACCTCATGGACAGTATTTCATATTTTATTTGAAGTCATAGGTTACTGTCAAACTTGAGTCTTATTTGATTGGAAATTTTAAAAAGCAACCCTCAAAGAGAACCCATCCAATTTACATCCTTTTAAGTGACACCCTCGTAAGTGCATTGAGAGGAGCTGGAATTCAGAGTGCGGGCAGCACTATCACTTTTTTCCATCAACTTCAGGTCCTAATAATATATACAAAAAACTAAATAAGAGGCACAACTTCTCTGTCAGTTTAAATACTGAGTTCTCCCTGAACCACCAATGTTGAGGAAACCATGTTGTTAAATAGATGAGTGTATTGCTATTATTGGTACCTAACAAAGTTTTAATCAAGCAGTTGTGCAATGTGAAGCCCCCAAACACTCAGCACCAGGCAAACAAGTGGGTGTGAACATGCACTGTTCCTGTCCCTTAGCAGGGAATGTAACAGCATGAGGACACTTTTTGTATTTCTATCTTTTGGATCTTTTAACATATTTCAACTTTATTTTAGTTGCATCTTCAGTGAGTGTTTAGGAACAGCTGCAGTATTACAGTATTCAGTCTTAGCATGTACTGAAAGTGAGCTGCTACCTGGAGCAGTTCAAACAACTTCTACATGCATTTACATATACATCTAAAAATCCAATGTACAGTTATTTTTTTAAATACACTTTTGGCTTTAAAAAATGGAAGAAACAGCCAGTTTGTTGCCAATCTCTCATAACATTTGGGGACACAGCCCAGTACAGGTCAAGTATTGTATTAGGCAGTCCCTGCCTGCACTTAGAAAAAACAAGACTTGGAAAGAAAGCATTTTAAAAACAATCCCCATGTCCTTCTCAGCCATGGTGTATCATTTCATTTGTAATATGAAAATCTTGATGTGCCTTCTCTCATGTAATTGCAGATGTTTTATGTACTACAGCATAGATACTATGTTTACATATAGTTTTGTAAAGCGTATATACTATGGTCAAAAATATGAAAAATATAGTGGATCAAACTTCAAGTATTGCTCTGTCAATAATTATGCATTCAGAACGCATCAAAATAAAGTTATCTGACAGAAGTTCATGACCTACTGTAATAAAGTGAAAAAAGGATTAAAAAAGAACAACCCCTCTCAGGATTTGCCTTATGCAGTGTGCTTTTCCAGTGTGGGGAAAGCTGGCATTTCTCAGAGCTCCTTCAGAAACCAAGATTCTGTCACATGATGAATCCTTCACCAATACCAAGTAAGTAATAATTGTGCAGATCAGTGGCTTTTTATATCAGGCTCAGATTTTACTGTGATTTGAACACTGAAACTTTGTTCCAAGAGATGTTATTCTACTTACTGAAGTCTTCACTGAAGTCTTTTGGTCAACATTAAATTGCTGATCTGATCAAATCTGAGACTGAAATACCAATGCAAGAATTCTGAATTATTACAGGAAGTGTTCATCCTTTTGCCAGCTGATCAACCAGTGTATTTCTTAAATTCACTAATATATGATTCAAACATAGCAACTCACATTTTTTTAAAAGCACAAAAAGGCTTTCTTCATGGCTTTGCTTTGAATTTTTGAGCACATCAAAACTAAGGAGGAGTTTGCATTAATGTGCAACATGAGTATGAGGAGGAGACCCAAGGGGAGAGAAATGGATCACATTCCTTTTGTACAGCTGGTGCCAGTTTCTGCTGGCCTGAGGGAGCAGCATCTTCCCAGGATTTGCTGAGCAGATCAAGGCAGTGGCTCCCCTTCTCTTGCTCCACTCCTGCTCCACCAGAAGAGGAAGATTAATTAAAATCCACATCGACACTCATTTTTGTAATCTCTGTGCCACCTTTCCCCCCACTCCCAAATAAAAACTTAGCAGTTGTTTAGGATTTTTTCTGTCCTGGAAAAATGTGGATTTTTCCTATTTTGTATATTTTGATCTGTGTCAATTCAGCTGTGATAGATGAAGATACTTTATTCATTTACTCCCACTATTTATTCCTTCTCTGCAGTTGTAAACTTCCACAGATGCTTTGTTTCAAATTTCTCACCCCAAATAATCCAGTTATCAGTAGTTTTATATAATGCAAAATGTGCTTCTCCCCTGAAGATCCCTCCTTTAAGTGGTGGCTTTAGATGATAAGCTACTGCAATAGAAGTGCTTAAAAAACATTGACACAATGCAAGAAAGTTGATAATTTAGCAAAACTATTTTATTAAAGCTTATTTTCATGATAAAATAATAGCCAACAAAATCATATTAGGCAGGTCTTCTGCAAATGTGTGTAGCTGCCACCTATTTAGATATCATTAAGTCAAGATATTCTTGTTTTCTGTGGTATTCTTTATTTTCAGCTATTTACAGTCAAGCACGAAGCAAAGATTACATCAGGAATGTAGTATTACAATTTCCCCCTGGAGATTCACTGCTTATTGTAAATAATGCCAGATAGGAATTCATGTTTTCCTTCTTACCACTAAAATACAACTATTTTGCCCTTTTTCCATTCAGTATATTTAAAAATATTGCACTACATTTAATTTACCTCTTACAATCATCATCATTAGCAACACTTATTTGAGGAAAACGATACCCAGCTTTTCTTACCCACTGTGTTACAGGAGTCAATTTGAAACCATGAATGTGTATTTTGAAATCAGTATTTGCATTGTTTTCACAGCTCCTTCATGTGCACCAGGGCTTAAATGAAGCACTTGGATATTTTTGAAAACCTCTGTAGTAGTCTGTAAGAGCAAACACTGATGGCATTGAATGCAGATCACCACCAATGGTAAGCTGCTGAGAAAATGGAGTGGGGAAGTCTTAATATGCATCTCAAGCAAGTACAGGTTAAATAACTTTCAGACAAGAAGGGAAGCTCATTTTGTGCGATTATTTGCTGAAGCTTAATTTCAGAAGTGTGTCACATGCTGTTTTAGCATGGATAGTTTTCCATACATCAACTAAGTAGTATCAACTGCCCAGAACTCACTAAAAAGTGCAAGTAGTTGCATGACTGGCAGTAACCATTTTGCTTAGAAGCACAAGCACACTGTCCCATGATGAAAACCACTGCTTCTTCATTTTGCCCATCACAAACCAAACCAAGAAGCAAATTTAAAGGAGAGGTACATTACAGATGACCTCAAAAACTAAAGGAGTTATTTTTACCATCTCAAATGTAACTCCCACAAAGGCTTTTTTTTTCTACTACCGGCAATACCAGTGATAATGATACAAGTACCTAGCACAGTACCTAAAATAAAGATGATATTTTATACAAAATTTCTATACACAGAAGATGAAACAATGTCTACAGGAAATAAATAAGAATGATGGCCTTAGCCAGGTGATGCTAAGATCCACAGTTTACACATAGCACAAGACCAGACAGTTCTTTTCAAAAGCAGCTGGCTGAATTTCTTCCTCATCTCTACTGGACTCACAAATTGACTCAAATAAAACATGTTATATACACTATAAGACATTTTGCTGACAAAGGTGATCCTTCTGCTCAGACTCTTATCTTCTGTCTGAGAAGCTGAATGCAACTTACCATGCTATGATTACTCAAAAGTGTTGAGAGAACATCGGTTACTTTGTATTTTGCACCTTAAGCTTTCCAAAATGATAGTCTGCAGCAAAATATTAATTTCTTTATATTACTTACACCATGATTACATGCTTTTACACAGAAGGCAATGAAACCTCCAACTCTTGTGAAGAACAACTTTCCTTTATCAGGCTATCAGATAATACAACATCACAAACATATGATTTCATTCTGGAAGGCAACGAGCCTCTTACCTTGAAAATATTCCCAATTAAATTATTATGAGATATCAGTTTATACTTTGACATCTAACAATAGTCTCAAGTTCTAAGGAGGATTTTTTTAGCATAGCATTACTATATTTCGTGTTAAATACAAACTACAAAAAGTTCTTGTATTTAACAAAAACATGGAAAACAAATGATATGCAATGGTAACTTCAGTAAGTATTAATAACAGACAAAATGAAAGACTTTTTGTTTGCTTTCATGATATGTTTGGCAAAAAATATACAATTACCTAGAAGACATACAATAAAACTGTGATTAACACTTAAAAGCCTGGCCCCTTGGTGACTTCTGAGTCAGTCATCAGCTTAGGCATGCAACAAGCTTATAATGTTTTCATCATACAATGGATACTAAACATCTTGAAAACCCTGCCTGTTTCCCATTGAAAACACTAGCTAAAAAAACAAACCAAAAAAAAATACAGAGAGGGGAAGTGGGGTCAAGTAATGCATTAAGGAAACCACACACATTGATGTGAAATGGTAAGGTTACATAATTAGAAAAAATAAAAATAAGTTATTAAAAATAAATTTCCAATATAAACCCCAAAGTGTAGTTTTAACCAGCTACTTTAACAAAATGATGGTGCTGTAGCTGGAGAAGAACCACTATTAGCAATTAACTGTGGAGAAGCAGGACACGCACATTATACCAGTGTTTTAATTTAATTTGTGTGTGTTTGGATTTAAGTGCAAAGTATTCTTTCAGTCCATTCCTTCAAAGACTAAATATGTAAATATCAGTCTACTGATTGAGGTGGATCAACAGGTTCTTCTTCTGATATGATGTTCAATGTCGGAGCCTCTGTCAGACTGCCATCTTCGCTATCCACTTCTTCTGCTATACTGGATTCCTC